AAAAAGTTTGTTTCTGAAGGATGATTCATCCTGTCGCATCAAATCTAACGGCGGAAGGATCCCGGTCAGGCTGTGCCGGTGGCGACGAATTAGACAGCGTGTGTTGGGGGGGGGGGAGGGGGGGGCAGGGCAGAGAAAACAGCTGCACGACTGGCACCGGACAATAAGAGCGGAAAACACCGGAAAATTAGATCGCAACCTGATGGTTTCGGATGAAAAGACACCACGGAAATTTATGCTTAAGCCGGAGCACTCAGAACATCCTACGCACCTGAGCTGTGCCATGTCCAAATTGCCTTTCAAAATTGTCTACAACGGTGTTTCGAAGCTATTATTCCCGCTACTTTAAAAGCAAACGAAAAGCTAAGCCCATGCAGGGTGAGAGGCGGTATTTTATTGCCACCGAAAAAACACCAGTGGAGACGACAAAATTGATGTCACTCGTTACACGCGCATTGTGCACCTTATGTGAGAGCGTGGGCGCAAAATGGCCCTGATGCCGACGCGCCCTTAAAAACCAAATCACCACCACCTTATGTGAGCGTGTGCACCTAACTTTCGTAACAACACTGAACAAGGGCGTCATCTCTGAGAGCTCGCAGAGCTACAGGTGTTTCGATTTTCAATCACAGAAAAAGGTTGACATGTGGTTCATTTAAGCCGGAAATACCTCAACATTCTCCTCTGGCGGCAATATGAGTTATTATGCTGAAGGAAGTCGACCCCAATTCACCAGTAGGAACGAGTTGAATATGGAATCAAGAAATCATTGAAACATGCTATTAAAATAGAGCATTCTCATAAGTCCGATGTTTCAAAGGCGGCGTTCGTGGTCACTCGAGCATGATAACTGCCTTGAAATTTCTGGTATTCTCGTGGCATATCCCAACGATTTCTTAGTATTTTCCCTTAAACAGAACCTCCTGCTCCGTTAAAGGTCCGTCATTTGCGACGCAATGACTCATCAGATCAGCATACAATGGCACTGTGCGGGCAAACAGGACATTTTTGGTAGGGCCGTATTTTGTGACCGGAAACAAGCTCAGTAATTAACGAAAACCCAGCTCCACATTAGATCAATCCTAAGCCACCTTTTTGTACTGCATTTGATTCAGGACACAATTTTGCGCCGATCAGGCTCAAAAGCCGTTCTTTGCTCAGGAAAGCCGCGACCCTCACCTCATCTCCCCCATTCCTACGAGAAGTTTTCCGCTGGTCTAAAGCGCTTCTGGCT